CTCGAATTGTAATTCCGTGTCTCATTCATTGCATGGTGGGATTTTTGTTGTCAACTCGTGCTTTGTGTTGTGATAACACAAGAGTTGTCAAGTGGGTCGCCCCATTTGTTGTTTGCCCAATGATTGTCAATAAAAAGCCCGATGTGAACAGATTGAACCTTTCATGCCTATCCCATAACCAGACAAGGCCGGGTGCTTTGATCCACAGCCACACGGAATCCATGTCGTGGTTTGCTCAAGTTCGCAAAAAAAATCCTTGGTGGACGGGCCAACAGGAACTGGTGAGGCGAAGAAGTGTAAACTTGTGGTTGACCCGGGGGAAAGAGGGCCTGAGCCTGTACACAAAAGTGATCTAGGCTTTTGGTGTCCCGAGCATTCAACCACAACAGAAGGGACCAAGTTGTTTCATGAGGACATATTTTTTCCTTTGTCATATATTCAAATGCACCATACATCAGCAAAATGGGAAAAAACTTGTGCGACTTTTTTGACTTTTCTTGGCATTTCAACCGGAGCCACCAGTCAACAGCCCTCCGGTTCGGAAGTCCACACCCTTCACCACTCATCAGCCAGAAGGAAGTTCCGGAGAGTTGAGACAAGAACAGAAACACACCTCGGGCCTATATATTGATTGATCTGGGTTAAAATCAGAATCTAGATATCAGATGATAAGCAAACATAAGAGAAAAACTCCAGATAGCCGACAACAAGTGTTTATAACGATCAGACTCGTTGCCATTACAGCCGGGAGGCCAGTTATAGCAGGGTGAAGGACCTATGAACAGGTGATTTTTATTTATTCATCCGAAGATGAGGTGTAGTCTTTGGAGTGACTGCTTCTGAAGTGTTTGGGCAAGGTCAGCTCAGGTGGAATGCTAGAGAATATATTTACCTTTCTCTTGTATTGAAGTCCTTGGGAACCTGAGAGGTAGTCCTCCAAAAATCCTAGTCATATTTGGTCTGGGTACTATGAACACTCATATCATGATGAGCTTGAGAGGGTTCAACTTGGTGGCAGTGGTGGTAATGATACAACGACGACACGTGCTTAGAAAATTTCCACAATGGTTCTGTCTCCGCTCCCTGAATCCCTAGGCCCTGGCTAATTCCAATTGTGCAAGTTGAAAGTGTGATGACTCCACTGCTTTGGTTCGCAAGGAAATCCATCTTAGCTCAGTGGTAGAGTGCTTTGCTACTAGCTAGTATCCGCAAAAGGTGAGTCCACTATGAAGAGTCCAGTTGTCTAAGTTGGCTAGAGGGAGCTCACCCCATGGATTTCAGCCCTGCTAATTCTTTGGTGCTTGACAGGGTCACTCTACCTTTGAGCTCAAAACTCCTAATCAAATATATCCATTTTTGTTTGTATTTTACAACTCGAAGTCCAATGTCCGGCAAAGGTCTGCAGCCTCAAGTGCACATGGGCAATGAAACTCAGACTGAATGGGAAAGTGTCTACTGGATAAATCAAATTGGGAAAGCCTGCCTGATAACGGGTATCTCAGAGCACATTGAGATTGAGACCAGCACCCATATCAACACAGTCAGCACTTACCCTAAGACCAACAATTGATGTCCTGTATCGGGAGGCATTGGGAGGGCAAGTCCATAGTGGTTACAGTTGTAGAGATATGCCTCATCAGCGTAGGTGAAGTGTAGTGAGTTGTTGAGATCTCATCACAATCTGAGATTTGAGGGACCTAAGCGAGGTGGGTATAGAAGCTCAGGCACTCTCTTGACAATCATATTGTGGAAGAATTTAATCTGTGTAAGGAAGAGGGATTGACTCTGATATGTCTTGGTATAGAGATTGTAACCCTGCAGATGTATCTACGCTCCCTATCAAAACACGGGACAAGAGCTTGCCAGCCCTAATCCAGAATATGTGAAGAAATTAGGTTATCAAACACTTCAACAAATGACACCAAAGCTGGTGGAGAGTTCTGCTGCCAGATTGGGCTTGTGAGAATGGCTGTTGGCATAATTCCAGTTATTCCTGCCAAAACTCTATGAACGTGGCCAGAGGGATACACAAATGAAGGGTTTTCCTCCGGAATGGCCGAAGTGAGGACAGCGAGTGCATCAGTAATTGACGAGTCTTCCTCTTTCAACCGCAACCTTGCCTTTATTAGGCGTTTCAATAGCCGTCCTGTGAGTGCCGACATTTCCGTTGGCATGTCGTCTGAGGTAGGAAAAGTTACTGAGCTGATGAGGTCGAGGATCATCCCACAATGCCTTTGTGAACCAAGCAGAGCTATGAGTGCGAGATACAGCAGTAAAGGGTCTGTTTGTAACAGAGCGCCTTTCGGTTGTGCTGCGTACGCATCGTAACCCGCCATATAAAAGTCACTGAGTACAAACAACGAGTCATCAAAGGACTCTGGAATGGAAGATGATAAGGCACATACTTATCGGAGCTCCAATCTCTACGGCAACACTCCACGATCATGGAGAGAAGGTGGTATGTTTCCGACCAGGAGCTTACGCGAACAAGTGCCGCTGCGAGAGCTTTCAGCTTCATGGACCCAACCTGTCTCATGATTATCTTGAAGGCTCTTGCACGAACAGGTCCCATATAGCCCGGACTATATTGTAACTTGTAAGCGGCTAAATCGGATTTGGTATATCGGCAGGCTATGATAACCACTCACTGTGTCAGTTGAAAAAGGGTTTGGTACATCTCTTCAACCATTTTCACGTCTCTAGGTGGGTCAAGCTGTAGATAGGAATCTATCCTTCCCAACTCGCGATTAACGAGGATATAATCCACCCCATTAAGAACCGCCTCTCCCAATTGCTTGATCGCTCTCCCCGAGAGACTACCAAGTCCAGGGACCGTTGAACCAGAGGAAACGGTATAGAATGTATCAGTTCTGGTTAGGATACTGAGTTCTACAGGACGTGAGACCTAAAAAGGAATTGGAGACCAATGAATAAGCTAGGGGTAGAGAAAAAAGCGGAAAGGATTACTGGATCATGTTGATTACCAGAAACCTGGATGAGACTCGATGTCTCGAGCTGTGGGACCTGAATCAACTCTGCAGAAGGGCGCATGAGTCTGGAGGGTAGAAAGGGGTAGGGAAAAAGACGGTGAAACTCCACAGCATCACACTCTCAACCTCAGTTTTATTTCTTATATCAACTTGTTTTGTAACATGGCGTTGCCAACGCAGTATGCTCATTGTCATTCATCGCTATGAAACGAAAATAATGATCGGATACCCGCAATAGTAGGAGGACCAAAAAGTATTCCATCACTCCGCCTTACGGGCCGAGTTACTATTTGGTGGAAAACAGCAAGTCCGATTGATGAACAAAGCCTTCTCATGATGGGAAGAAGATCGAGAAGAAGATTGACCGCTTGTGCATGAGTGCTGTTACTGAACCTTGGCTAACATCCCCATGATAACAATCAATCAATCATCATTAGCTTCATGAGAGTCAGATTATCGGTCCCGCACTGAACCACACATCCAGCCAGATCTCGTCGTGTCCCATGGTCCTGTTGCTAACTTTCCAGCTTTATCAGTGTCAACATATTCATATCAACTACGGGATGCAAATGAAAGGACACTATGTCCCTCGTATGAAATGCTCTGGACCTCGCGATGAGCACGCGAATGAAAACTCCAGCGAGCTCTGTAGTATAAATGAAATTGGTTGGGCAGTTACTTAAATAGAATTGTACAGTTTCCCTGATGAAGGATATCCAGTTGTGGATCCTTCGAACAAATGTCTGTTCCTACCCGTGCTATACTGTTTTTCCTACCACGGGAGTGGCGCTTCTGATTGATGTATAATCCGAGGTCGACAGCATTGGCCAGCAGTACATCAATCGCGTAATTGGATACCTAGCGGGATCAAACCTAAGGTTGGAGTAAAAGCTGTAGATGTTCTGAGTATCAAACGAAGGGAAAACAGGAACATCAGCTACGCAACGGCACCGTATTTTCAACTTAGCCCAAGGTGGCAAGAATACCGACGGCACGCGTCACATGAGTCAGTATCCAGAAGAGAGAACGATTCAGGGTCGAAAAGGTTCGGGGGGAGGTAGCAAAAACCATTGGTGCCGGAGAGGTGTATTCGGGCGTTAAATAAGCTGTGGTAGGTACACTCGTGGGGGTAAAAATGGTAGCAGTAGTGATTGAACTTGTGAAGATCATCTGCATCAAAGAGGCTTAGTTGGACATGAAGTAGCTCGGCTATGAGGAAGTATCAGAGAGTCGAGACGCGACAGGAACACACCTCGAGCCCATACGTCTGTTTATCCGGGTTGAAAACATGGTATTGGTTGGTAAGAAAGCATACAAAAATTGTAGGCAGCCTACCAGAAGCGTTTGCAACAACCGCACTTGTCGCCATCACAGCCGGGATATCAGGTATGGTTTGTTCCTCGTCGTTTATGTGGAAGCAAGGTGTGGTTCGCATCATAGAGTGAATGCTTCTTAATCTCGTGTGTTATTCTAGGGCCTTGGCCCAGAGACTGCGAGGGCAAGGTCAGTGATATGACGCTAAAGAATCGGGTAATATTTGCCTTAATCTTATTTATCGAAGTCTAACGTTCGGGAAACCGAGAGGCAGAATTGATCCGACATATCTAAACCAGGGGGGGGAAAGGACTTTTGGGGCAAACCGCAACGGATAAAGCCGAAATGCTGTGAGGTGTTGTGTCGAGTTGCTTGTATCATCTACCAAGAGATTAGCTTGCCGGCGTCGAAAATATTCAGTGTTTCAGCGGCGATTTGCACGGTGACTGGAGAATAAAGATATACATCCTCTAATAATCCTGATATCTCGTTCAGGTCTTACAGACGCATCAAGATAGACTTGAAAGGGTTCAATTTGGCGATGGTGGTATGGTTGTAGAAGGGCGACATGTACACGCGTTCCGAAAATTTCCACGACGGTTTGTGACCTCCCTCCGTCTCCCAGGCCCCGGTAATTTCGATGGTGCTCCACGAGCTGAAGGCGTAATGGATCCGTTGCTATGGTTCATGGTAGAGTCCCTCTTAGCTCAGTGTTAGAGCGCTTCACTAGTATCCGCAAAATTCGTGTCCGCTATGAAGAGGTCAGTCGTTCAAGTCGGCTAGAGGGAACATCTTAGATGAGTCCAACTTTTGGAACAATTGATTCTATAATTTTCCAATCGTATGTACGTACACTCATTTTGATTCGAACAACGCATAGCAAGGTGTTCGGTCACAGTATACGGTCGACAGATGTACAAATGGGATGTGAGAGATAGGGAAAAGAAGAAATTGTCCGAAATAGAAACCAGAACCAGGACGACGTGCGATGTTGGTAACAAATCGAGTTCTTTGATGATCTCAGAGCACATTGAGCTCGACATCAGCACCCAAATCAACATTGATACCTTGGGTCGGGAGAGCAAGGTCATCGGAACAAGGACTTGTGGTCACGGTAGTAGGAATATGCACGGTCGTTAGAGTAGGCGAAGTGTAGTGACCCGTGGAGGTCATTTCGTCGCAATCCGATGTATGAGGGGTTGGGGAGGTGTAGGGGCTCGTAGTCGTGCTGACAGTGATGGGGATGGTCGGCGTCGAAGAAGTGTATTCAGAGGTGGAAGTAGTGATAGTGATTGGTGGAGTGATCGGTGTGAGGAAGGTGTGCTCGCTAGTGGCCGTAGTGACCGTCGTCGAGTCGTCACAATCAGAGGTATAAGGAACCGTGGTAGGGACGCTCGGGATGGTAGGAGTGGTACTGGTGAAAGGAATAGGAGTGGTAGGCGTCAGGGAGGTGTAGTGATCCTCAGTGGTAGCGGTGGTGATTATGGTAGGGATGGTCGACGTCGGAATGATATAGGGACTCGTGGTGGTAGTCACCGCTGTCGTCTCATCATCACAGTCGGATGTGGTCGTAGAATGATCATCGGTAGTAGTAAAAATAGGGGTTGTAGGCGTCGGGGAGGTGTACGGACTCGTAGTACTGAAAGTGGAGGTAGTGGCAGTGTCTGGGGTAGGAATTGTGGGCATCGGAGCGGTATACCAACCAGTAGTGGTGGTAGTTTCGTCGCAATCGGACGTATGAGTGACCGGAGGCGTGTAATGAGGACCTGTGATTGTGTTTGAGAAACCGGGATAGGGGTTATAGGGGTCAGAAATACTCACTCGCCGCTGTGGTTGTATCGTCGCAGTCAGAGGTGTGAATGATTGAGATAGGGATAGGAATCTTAGGCGTCGGGAAGGTGTAGTCGCTTGTGGTGGGAGTGGTTTCATGGGACACCGGAATAGGGATCCTTGGGGTTGGGAATGTATAATCGCTTGTGGTGGTCGTTTCGTCGCAGTCAGCTGTGGGCAAAAGCCCAGTGCCAACCCCAAGGTCAACATCTGCACCCAAGAGCTGAATGGGCGACGCAACGACGACCGGGAGCACAAGGATGAGTGCGAGGAAGGACTGCATGTTGGTACTTGCAAACTGAGCAAAGTAGAGAAGCAGTTGCGTTCTGAGAAACTGCCGAGGAAATAGCGAGGTTTTTATATGCCTTTCCTAGCGCCTCTCGGCGAAGATACCTTTCATTCTTTTTGCTGAAACATAATCAGGAGCTATGTGTGATTAGAAGGATTCAGTCACAGAGAAACATTACCTGCGCGGACGGTTGAATCAAAGCCAACCCAAGTTTGAGACGCCGATTCGGAACGTCAAATTCACAAATCTACATTCCTCGGTGTTTCCTTACTTACCATCAACTCCGCCAAGCGGCGCTAGGAGCTCACACAGCTAATTTTTAGGCTTCAGAACTCCGAGTGCAGGGTAGCAGTAGTAGTTGGAGGATACGAGCAAAGAACCCAGTCATTCAGTTCCGGATAATAAACCCACGTGGGAAAAGGTGCATAACGCTTAGCGCCGGTGACGAAACTCTGCTCTGAACCACCATCATCAAACTCAAACCATTTTTTCCTGCCTCGACTATCGGAATGCACGATGTTCCTCGACAAAAACATAGTGTTAAGATGTACGCTTTCTTCGCCCATTGTGGTTCAGGCAGACCGCGATTGGGTTTGAACGTAGTTGGTACCCATTCCGAATTGGCAGCTGAGATCCATGGTGCGTACATATCCTCGCTTTTTTTCTTTGTACCTGCATCAACGATCAGAAACTAAGGTTTTATCCCCTCCTCTAAGCATAATCATGGCTTCCTCAAGTTGGAACAATCAAAGACGAGAGTTGGTTGGGAAGACATGGGGGGGGGAGGTACGTCTCGCTTGATTTCTCCTCGTTATTATACATGGCTGATTTCCTTGATAGACAGACGCACTGAACGAGATAACTGCTTGCGAGCAGAGAGGAACATCATTGACCGTAGCCCACCCAACGTCATTGCCACGAAACATGAAGCTGTCTGCGACCCGTTCATCAAGAAGCTGCATTCGCGTACTATCTTCCGGTGCTGGGAAAGACAATCAGAAGGAGTTGAGCCTTGAATGAACAGACGTAGAAGGTATATACCCCGCCTAAAACCATCATAGCTCTCCCCTCAAAGCCCGTTTTCTCCCTCTTCCAGAAACATCTCCTTGTGACACCTACGCCAGCCATGAACATGGCTGGACAGGATTAGGCTCAGGACGGTTCAGGAGTTCAAGTATTCTCAACGCTTTTGCTGTCTCCATAACGTGATTCCGAACGAAATTGAAGCCCTCCAGAACCCATACGTAGCAGAATCTGCGGAACATTTCGGTGCGTAAAGCTCCATATCTCTATTCGAATACTTGTTAACGAGGTCTTCTACAGGTCAATTATTCCTATCGTCGTCTAGAGTTGGAATTAATTGATGGGATGACGGAGTAACAATGGTTGGGGTTGGATGAGGTACGTCTCGTCACGTTCTCGGCGATCTCATCCTTAGCTGATCTCGTGTTATATTCTATCGCGTCGACCTTCGGTGGGTAGAAGTCTTTGCGAAACAATGTTCCCTTCTGCCGCAGCCTCACCGATGTCTCTAGGAATACTGCTACTCATCAACAAGCCGCGTTCCTGGCATTGTCGAAGGGCTGAAGGTGGCTCCAACTCCCCCTTCAACCCTCCTGGCTTCGTCGAGATACCTCGAAGGAAAACAGTGTCGTCACGACCGGTGAGGCACGTATCCTCGCTTCTCGACCTGCGGTAGATGGAAAGAAGTACACCCGCTTGGGAGACTAACGGGTTGGGTTGTGTCTGGGGAATGTACGTCTCGTCGATTTCTCAGCGTTGTTTCTCCCTAGCTGATGGTAGCATTATACCTTGCTAGTGCATATAGCCACAGAGAATATTTTGGTGACGGTTTTCGGAGAGCTAGCGGTTCGTGCTTTTGATGCCGTTATCCATCACCAGTAGTCGATTTTACTCGACAGGGAACCTTCACGAAACAATCCTCCTTCGGAACGAAGGGCAGGCTGAGGCTGGCCATCGTTAGGTCGAAGTCAGCTCGCCAACAAACCGTGTGGCACGAGAAGCTCTGGAATTGGTAATAGGCATGCATGTGCGATCAACTATCGTCAAGAAGGTAGGTACATAGCCTATCTTCACCCACTATTTCCCTAACGCTCGTTCTCCGTACCCTTCAGATACTTCGGGGTCCGGATATGAGAAATTAGCGAGCTCAGTGCGTGTATGGGGACGGGCAGAACGGATGGTTATTGTACCAAACTAGAGACATGCCTCCCACTCATTGTACTGACAGGCTTGAGGCTTTGTGACGTTGGGTTGACCATTTCGAATCTTAGTTTTCGTTGCCTACTGCCCTCCGGTGCTGATGTTCGCACCTTCAATATGACGGTGTGCCGGACGATTAGAATGAGCGGGAAATTGTCGGTATGCGTCGTTAATGAAGCTCCCACCTATACTTTCTTCTCGTCCTCCAACGAAATAACTTGTGGGCGCGGCTTCGAGACTCCGCCCTAGGCCGTGGTGGTTTTATTCAGTACTTACTTAGTGAGTGACAAATGGGCCTCGTTTGCCTGGAGCTAGAGTAAAGATCGAGAAAGATCGGGGAGTGCATATGTTTGACGTTCAACGGTGCTCCGTCGAAGCCCGAGTTGAGAGTTCAACTCAGTGAGAATGTACCTCCGAGGACGCTTGATCGAACAGCTGAGGGTACTCAGAGGACGAATATAACCAGTGTAATATATACTGTAAACTTTCGCTGTCCTGTTTGTTACCGTCTAATTATGGGTCTGCTAATGGAGGCTGGATGAATGACGAGGATACCGATTGTGGGGCGTGGTGGTGGAGGATCTCGAGAAAGGATTTGAAAGCTAAGTTGGGCACAATCAGCGACATGTCGCAAATATGAGGAAGACAGAGAAGAGGAGAGATACCATGGTCCTCGCCCAAATCCATGGTGACCCATTCGGATTTGCTGTCTTCCTGGTGATGCACATGCGTGCGTGATCCTGAGACAAAATGAGTTTCAGATCGAAGGGTATGACCACGAATTGTGGGCCTTTCTCCGTAGGAATGATGGTTTTGTCGATGAGGACCTTGGTCATTGTTGGGTAGCGAGTCGGTGATGGCGGGCAAGCGAGCCCTCATCAGTGCACTATCACCCGGTTCGTGGTTATGGCTTTGTGCGAGACGAGCGGGGTCGACCTCTACCGAAGGAGACTGGTTCCCGTTATTTTTGGTGAGGTCAGGTGGATAAACGTGCTTTGTAGTAGAAGCTGTTTGTTGAAATCTCATACAAACGATACGCTGCAGACTGGATTGATGCCGGGCAGCGAAATAACTGCCCATCCTCTCTGAGCCCCTAATTTCGGTGAGAAGATCCAACGGGTGAAGTTGGGCACTAATCGGGTTCTATAGCAGCAAAAGGAACGAATGTCCGAGAGAAATAGAAAGAAAAGAGACGATAGAAGAATAAGTACTCAATCTATCAAAAATTGATAATAGGGAGCTCACAAGACGTCCTTTAGGCTGTGCATTCAACACTCCATTTTCCACGAATACCCAATGGTCCCTCCAGGCTAATTTTACTCTTCATCTATTCACCGCATCACTCCCATCTCTGTTCTCCCGCTCCTTTCCCAGCCACTTCTTAGCTGTTTTTTTGCGCGCCACGGCAAGGACTCGAAGACTCTTTACCCCGCCCTCCCAGTACGGC